GCTCGATGAGGTGGGCAAAGCCGGCAGTCATGCCATAAATGCAATAGTGGGTGCAGTCGCCTCCGCCAACGGATTCGCCTGGGTGCGGGGAGTCCTCCACCGGGTTGTTGAGGTAGTGCTGATAGGTCGGCACAAAGTTGGGGCCGAGGAGCTCGGCGACCTTGTCGCCGCGGGCGATGGTGATCGGGGTCGGGTCGTCGCCAACGAGACTACGAAGGTTCCCTGGGTCGGCGCCAGCGGCGGCCCACGCGGCAAACTCTTCGTCTGAGAGTTCGCCCTGGGCCTCGGCCTCGGTGAGGAGGCCGTACTCGACGGCCTTGCGGAGGACAATCTCGTAGAAGAGACGTATCACAGGATCATAGGCGGCGACGCGACCGCAGCTTGGCGAGCTGCGCGTCGAAAAGGCGCCGTTGAGGCGGGTGTTGTCAAAGCCTTGCGGAAGCTTTTCAAAGACAATGAGGGTCGGAAGGGGGCCTTGTGGGAGGGCATCAAGATCGGCTTTGAGGGCAGGGCTGGGATCGTAACTGGGGTCCGGCTTGTGGCCACCGACGGCGCCGAAAAACCAGTCGACAACAAACGAGTAGGCCTTGGTGCCGTGGACGAACCACTCGTTGTTTTCATAAAACGGCGAGCCGCCGACAACGACAATGTCGTCCGCCCCGACCTTGCGGCTGATGCGCTCTTGGATGATGGTGTTGAGGGCGGGATCGTCCAACGGGCTGCCGTCAGGCTTGTACCAGACTAGGGCATTGAAAACAGGCGGGGAGTTCTTCAGCGGCCAGAGCCTCGGCAACTTGTTCTGCCAGCTCAAAGTCGTGCCACTTTTGGCAGATGAGGATATCGTGCTCAAAGTAGGTACATGCACGGAGGGCATACGAGTCGTTCGTGTGAGCGTAGGCGACGGCACGGAGGCCGCGGCCGCACACTATGTCCGTGTATAGACCACGGCCAACCGAGTCGGAGACAATATGAATGGTCCTCCCTTCGAGGTGGGTAAAAAGTGTCTCCGTGTCGAGCTTGGTGATAAAGGGCGATCCAGGCTCGGGGATAAAGGCAGTATCGAGGCCGTGGACGCCGATCCTGCAGCGTATGATCTCGCTGCGCGGAAAGAAAGAGCCGGGTTCGTTGTGGTCGTTCACGCCGATCATGCACCGGCTCTCGTCAGCCCAGGAAGTCAGCTTGCAGGCATGCGGCGCGATGGCGTCTTGGACATCAGCCGGATTGAAGACAAAGGCGGCGTCTGGGATGACGACAACATCGTGGGACTTGTGTCGCGGATTCTCCGTCTCGACGCTCATGGCCTTGTACTTGTACGTCACGTTTGTCTCGCGCGAGAGCGAGGTCTTGCACGATCGCTCCAACGCCGACTTTGGATCCTCCCAGACACGCGGGGCGGAACAGAGGTCAGTAACACACGCCGGTAGATCCTCACTTGCCGAAGTCGACACCGTGGCATCGATTGTCTCCGGCATCGACCAACCAAAGAACTTGCGCGGAACTCGCCGAAAGACGCCACGGAAATGCGGCCGATCATACGGGCCAAGAGTAGACCCGGGCGTTATGGGCGAAGGCGTGGCAGCAGACGAGGATGAAGTTGATGGCGCCGGAGGTGCGGGAGGCGCGGAAGGCGCGGGAGGCGCGGGAGGCGCGGGAGGTGCGGGAGGTGCAGGGGGCGCGGGGGGCGCGGGGGGCGCGGGGGGCGCGGGAGGTGCATGCAAAGTTACAGAATGAGTGGCAGACGATGACCCGAGTGAGCTGTTGGACGACAGAGCTAAGAGCGAGAAGAGCGGGTAGAGAACCAAGAGCACGGTGAGGACGTAGACAAGCCGAACATTAGCAAAGGACCAATAGCCACACAAGGCTCTATCTGAAGAAGAAGAAGGCTCTCGCATGGATAATGACCGAGCTGAAGGACCGACGAGTGGGTAAGCCGCCGAGTCGATGCCGACCAGCCAAGTGACAGTATAGAGTTCGTTGGCAGTTTCGTTGGCAAGACAGGCAACCCCGCTCTTTGGTGTGGGTCCGTCTGCACTCTCACCATGATCGTCTTTGTTTGTGCGCGGCTGTGACCGCTGCTGACTCGTCGGCGGGCCGAGCCGATATTGTGTGGCTCACTGACTTTAGCACCACGTTGACAGCACTCCATCCCTCCACGCGGGAACGGTCCGCACGTAATGCCGTACCAAGCAATGTCCTTGGCGCTGGGCCCACCGTTTCACTGCGCCTGGCGCCGCGTCATCCCCCCTTGTACAGCGACTTCCACGCCTCCCAATCGTGCCACCCCACCCCCCCTCTCCCATCGATCGACTGCTCCACATGATTTGGTTTCTTCATTTGCTGCCCGAGCTGCGCTACGTGGTGTGTTCTGAAAAGAACACAGGTTGTTGTTGTTGTTGTTGCTGCTGCTGTGAGCTTGCGCCCGCCAGCGACACCATGCTTAGCCACCGAAGCCGTAGAGGGTGCGGCCCTGGCGCTTGAGCGCGTAGACGACATCCATCGAGGTCACGGTCTTGCGGCGAGCGTGCTCGGTGTAGGTCACCGCGTCGCGGATGACCGACTCGAGGAACTGCTTGAGGACACCGCGGGTCTCCTCGTAGATGAGGCCGGAGATGCGCTTGACACCGCCACGGCGAGCAAGACGCCGGATCGCGGGCTTGGTGATACCCTGGATGTTGTCCCGAAGGATCTTGCGGTGACGCTTAGCGCCGCCCTTGCCGAGGCCCTTGCCACCCTTACCACGTCCGGACATGATGAGTTGAGAGTTGAAGTATGCCTACATTACGAGTGGGCGATGGCGGAAGAGTGCGCCGCCTTTTATACCCCTGGCGCGCCCAAATTCGCCGCACAACTGCATATTTCGTGCCACCCAGTCCCGTCCAACTATAATCAATCACTCTCAATTAAACTCGACCTCACGCCACCCTACACCACCACCCCATACAGCCGCCCACCTGCGCCTTCTCCACTCACACTTGCAGTACCCGTACATCTTTGACACTACTATCAACTACTAGCTTCTTGGCCATCTAATCTCCATCCCTACACTCTGAACACATCTGTATATTTCGTGCCACCCAATCCAACAGGAACCGCGCCGCGCGCGCACCTGCCCGATCCGCCACAACCTGCGCGTCCCCATCAGGCCCGCCCCCACACCATCATATCCCCTATACACGCAACCACAAAGCCTACCAGTTCTAGCCTCTCATCTTTAGCACTCTCTCCCCGCCTCAACACTCCCCGATTGAGTTCTCGGCTCATCCTTCCCTCTCATCCTTGGGCCCCACGAACGCACTCGCTCTGCTCCATCTCCTTCTCCCCACACACTCAAACAACACTCTACACCGCCTGTGTCCACCCGCATCACCTTTGTCAACCATCCACACCTTGGGCAAGCGGTTGCACTCCCTATTTTCCAAGATTCGTTCTCGCGTGCCTTCCGCAGCGCCCTGTCTGTCGGTGCCACGGCTACTTTGCGATCAACTGTCGCGCCACACGCCTTCCCCCTCCCCCACCACACTCACCCGCACGCACACACACACTTCCCCACACCTTGCCACCCGTTGGTCACCCCACATGGACACGGTGGACCCAACGGAGCTACACAAAGCGCTCACCTCGTTCTCGCCATGCAGCCACCCCCACGGACCCTTGCCACGTCCCTGGCAAACTCTCGCGTGGCCCGTGCCCGCCTCCGCCTCGCCTCGCTTCATGCCCGCGGCATCTACACCGACCCCTCGCCTCCGCTTCCCGAGTCGGGGCCAAGGGGCCGCATGAGCCAGGCGCTGGCGGCTGTGCATGCGCTGATATGTGATGGTGATGATGGTGATGATGACGATGCCAGGAGCGGAGCGGATGATGATGGGCACGCCGCCAGGCCGCTCTCACCACTACCGCATGCGGTGCCGGCTCGATACGGCGTGGCCAACGTGGCGAGCTCGGGAGGCTTGGCCGCAGCGATGCTGGCAGTGGCGGCCATTGCTGGCGCCATGGATGCCATTCTGGTCACCCACGCCGAGGCGAATGCCATCGCCGCCGTCGTGCTCTACGTTGATGGCGAATGGTGGCCGGTGCTGGTCGACGAGGAGCTGCCTGTACACCATGCGTCGCGGTTGCCGACGGGGTTGATGCCGCTCGGCGGCCGGGTCGATATGTGGATGTTGCTGCTGGAGCGCGCGCTCGCCAAGACCGCGTACGCCACCGGCTACGAATCGCTCCGTGGCTGCTACGCCCCGCATGTGCTCGAGACACTCACCGGCGGGCTGGTGGTCAACCACGAGCTGCCGCACGCGGCGCCGCCGTTGCTTGCCCCGGGCTCGGCCCTGCTCTGGCGCGGGACGCTGACCAACGGGACCGACGTCGAGCAGATTGAAGCCTGGATCTCGTTTGTGGGCGGCCGAATGGGCGGCGGCGGTGTTGACTCGCAGGGTGTGTTCGACGTCGTTGGCGAGTATGCCGGTGACGGCTCGGTCTCGTTCCAGCTTAACCATCACGCCTTGCTCGAGACCTCGGGCGTTCTCCGCTACCACGGAACGTACATGCCCGACTCTGGCAAGCTTGCAGGCAAGGCCACATCGCTGCTGTATCCAGGCTACGTCACGGCCTTTGAGCTCACCCTAGCCTCGGTGCCTGACGCGGCTGAGCTCTGCCTCTTTGCCTCGCCGTGGGAGATGCTCTCGCGATGGTGGCGCGCCGAGCAACCGCTTCTCGTCTGCGGCACTGAGCCACACGAGGCGTACCCAGTTGTCGACGTCGCTCTCACCGACGGCGTGCCGTGGATTGCTGTTCGCGAGCCCGACCCGACCGCGCCCGAGTCTCGAGTTGCTGCCGCCGCTGCTGCTGCCCTCGCCGCCGCGCCTCCCGGCAAGACACCCGTAGCCGACGGCATCCGCGACCCGGCCCACTGGCTCCCGCTCGATGCCTTTCCGCTCCGCGGCTTTGTCCTCTCGCGAGCGGTCATGCTCACCGAGACCTCGGCGCCGCACGTCCTCATCCACAAGGGCTACTTTGCGCCGCCGCGTGCCGGCGAGCCGCCGTTTGACGACCAGTGGCTCGCGTGCAACCCGCAGTACGCGCTCCGACCGTCGTCACTCGGTCTATTCACCATCTCGGTCTCGCAGCCAGACTCACGCCGACATGCCGGCTGGGACAGCTACCCGATCGGCGTCGGCTTTCGCGTCTACATCTCGCGCTTCCCGACCGACACCATCCGCGACATGCTCGACGCCTTTTGCATTGCCGACATTCCGCCGGTGCCCGGCAAGCGGAGCGTGTCGATCGACCTCGCGTTGCTCCCTCTCTCGCTGCAGAACGACGATGGCGAGGCCGCGCCAGCCGCCGCTGCAAGCGTCCACGGCCGCGGCGGGGGCTCTGGCCGCGCCTACTTTGTCGTGCCGTACACCTCGACGCCCTCGGTCGGCCTGCCTTACATTCTCCGCGTCGCCGCCGCCACCGAGTTTACTCTCGAACTCCGCTCGGGCACCCCGCCGTGTGGCGTGTGCGGCCGCACCACCTCGCTCGGCCTTGTTCTTCAGCCGGGCGCTCTCCCGGTCTGCGACGGATGCTACTACCGCAACGTCACCGCCGACGGCGTTTTTCTCTCCCGCGCAAGATTCGTAAGAGCCGCAAGGGCAAGGACAGAGTGGCGTCGGCATCGGCAGCCATGTTTGCATCGGCGGCGCAGGGGCTACGGCGACCAGTAGCCGCAGCTGCGGCTGCTGCCGCCGGTGCCGGCGCCGGCCCGCGTGGCGCGGCACGGCAGTCTGCCGCATGGTCCGCGCTGGCGCCGGGCTCTGTGGCATCGCGCAAGCTTCGAGCCGAGCTCTACACCTCGGTGGAGCGGCGGATCTGCGTCGAGCCGTTCTTCTGCCTCATGTGCAAGACACAGCTTGTGGGCGAGTGCTACTACTGCGTCGACTGTCCGCCGAGCACCTTTCTCTGTCCGGTCTGTCGACTGTACTTTAACCAGGCCGTTACGCTCCACCAGTACCCGCCGTTTGAGGGCCATGCTTTGAGCACGACATGATCCGGATCAACGTACTCGAGGTGTGCGCCGGGTGCAAGATGGTCTCGTTTGTGGGCGCCCGCTACGAGTGCATCACGTGCTCAGAGGGCGACGACGGTGAGCGAGCCAAAACACCGGCACTCGTGCTCTGTGCCCGATGTGTGGCCGACGGCGTTGTCGCACGACCCGGCCACGTCCCGGGCAAGCATGTCCTCCTCGAGGGTCGCGACGACGAGGGCGAGCGGTGGCGGGTCGAGACTCCCAAGGTGCCGCGTGTCAACATCGGCCGCGAGCCGCGACTCAACGACGATGGCATGATTGTGTACTCGGGCTCGTGGACCAAGGACGCGTACGAGCTACCGTACCGGACGCTGCTGACCCAGCTCGAGGCCGCGCCACCGCCGACGGACCCTCCGCCGCCGCCGCTGCAAGTCCCGGCAACCTACCGGGCCCCGCGCATCTCGCCCGGCGTCGAGATTAAGTCGCCACTTCCGGCTGCTCTGGCCGGGCTCTCGCTCGGCCCATCGGCGCTCTCGTCGTCGACCTCGTCGTTCTCGCTCCTCCCGCCGTGGTCGCTCACCCAGCCCGCAAATGTCCAGACCTCGGCGCTCCGGCTGCCGTGCGTCTCGTTCTCCAAGGACTTTTTCGTCGACGCTAACGACTCGATCGACGTCTTCAAGCAGTGGTGGCATGTCCTCCGCCCGCTCTCCCTTCTTGGCGTCGTTATCTCCGACGCGGTCTCCCAAGTCGCCACACACCACGACTGGGCTGTGTACTCGGACCCGCGCTACGCCGGCACGCTCTACTTTGTCCCGCCGCCTGTTGTTGGCCTCCCGCCCACCTGGTCACCGCCCATAGACGTCGCCGCACAAGCTTCGTGGTCGGCAACCCATCTCAACACCGTACTCGAGGACCCGCCGCCGGAGCTGCCGGCCGCCTTGCTTGCGCCCGCGACTGCGCTCCACACCCGTGGCGCTTCCGCGGCTGCTGCCGCGGCTACTTCCGCCATCGGCGCGCCGGCCATCTCCGGCGCAGCTTCAGGCGTCATCACACCGTCGTACCCCGCGGCGTCGACCTCAACCGCCAGTGCCGGCGCCACCACGGGCAAGCCCGCGACCTCGCCCGAGTCGCGCGTCGCGCTCGCCGCCGTCGCCATCGTCGACGCCGCCTCGCGCCGCCCGTCGCCCGGCGAGCTCGCTGCCGTCTTCCGCATGGGCGCCGGCCGCCTCGACACCGTCTCCTACTACGTCTTTCGTAATGTTGTCCGCGACGTGCTCGGCGTCAACCTCGGCGAGGCTCAGGCGGTCGCCCTCTTCGAGGACCTCGATCCCTCGCACGTCGGCCGGGTTGTCTTTGCCTCGTTCTGCGCCGCCGTCGACGCCGCCATCCGCGACTCCTCGCTCGACTAGCGCGGCAACAACAACACACACACTACAATACAGAGCAGCACTGCACTGCACGGCAAGCAAGTTCATTCACATCAGAGAGAGCAAAGGCATCTCGCCCGCTGGCGAAAAAAAGAAGACTGGTCAAACAACCTCAACTGTACAAGACAGAGAGAGGTTTTAGGACGAGTACGAGCCCGAGCCCGAGGCCGAGGCCGCGTCGTAGGTGTAGTCGTCACCAGAGTAGGCCTCGACGTCCTCGACGGCGGCGGCCTTCTCGGTGTTGTCAGCAGCCTCCGGGGCGCCGACAACAAAGTTGAGGGCGACGAGGGCAGCGAGGGTGACGGCAACGACGGCACCGATGACAATCATGAGGATGCGGGCAAGCTCGAACTTGTCCTTGACGTCGCCAGTCGGGTCGGCGCCGACAACCTCGTCAACAGTCTCGACGTGGAGGAACATGCCCCAGAAGGCGATGATGAGGGTGGTGAGGAGGCCGAGGGCAAAGGCGACGGTGCGGAAGGGCTGGAAGGCGTAGGCGTAGGCGATGGTGTAGATCTGGCGGAAGACCGAGAAGAGCATGGCGAGGATGAGGAAGGCAAGGACGGAACCCTCATCGTAGTTCGTCGAGATGCCGTTGACCATGACCGAACCGGCAAAGAAGAAGGCAACGGTGTTGAGAAGCTCGTTGCGCGAGATGCGGCCCCACCGGTCGGTGGCGGCGTCGACGACGGCGGCGTCGCCGTTGTCCTCGTTGTTGACGGCACCGCCGGCAGCGAAGCGGTTGTACGCCTGCTTCAGCTCAATGGCGGCGATCTTGAAGACCTGCACACCAATGGTGAAGTTGAACACAGCGTTCATGGCGGCAGCGGACTGCTGGGTAACGTTGGTGATGTCGGCCATATTGTTTGATAGTCGAGAGAGGGGTGCCCGTCACCGCGGTGTCCGTTGCGACCCAACGGCTGGCGAATTTTATTTCGGCTGGCCATCCTTTGTCCGACTCGGCCCTCGGCCCCCTTCCTCAGCATCGCACACTCGCTAGAGACGCCCTTACTGGATGCTCTTGTGCACCCAGAATACCCACATGCATTTCTCTTTGGTAGGCTTTTCAACCGTGGAATAACATCTCTGTACATCCCACAATGCCCTTGCCACGGCCCCTGCCCGCAGAGGGATCGAACAACTTCGAAAGGGATCACGTTTGGGCGCCAAAAAAAAGCCGATACGCGACCGCCCGCTCTGCATCCACAACCACTCCCGCTCCCGCCCCGGCCCAAGATCCCGGTCGAACTCCCCAGAAATATTTTACCACACTCACCCCCACCCCCCACCCCCCATCCCCCTGCCTACCCCCAAAAACCTGCCCTCCGCCCACCCGTGTTCGTTGTTGCCACCTGTCCCCCCCTCCCCCCTCCCCCCTCCCCCCCCTCATGCCCACCGCATCCGAGTACCTCGTCCTCGCGGCGCGTAAGGGAGCTGCGTCAAAGATTGGCGCACTTGCGGCACGTGGGGCGGACGTCGACTTTGTGGATGACCGTGGCCTCACGCCGTTGCTCCATGCCCTCGCCCGGAGGGACGGAGAGACTACGGAAGCCGTTTGCATGGCTGGTGCCGATACCGAGCTCATCTCACCGTCTGCCATCTCCCCGCTCATCCTCGCCCTCCTCTCGGGCGAGCTAACTCTGGTTGACATTGTTCTCTCCTATGGCGCAGAGCCGAACCGTCCCGCTGCTGCTCCCTACACCGCCCCGCAATCGTCGTCGTCATCGTCGCTGGCAACGCAACAGACGGAACCGCCGAGTCCTCAGCCGCAGCTGCCTCCTCCGGCCTCTCAAGGTCTCGGCTCGCCGGCTCGAAAAAAGCCTCCGCCTCCGTCGCACCCGCCGCCGCCTCTGTCGCCGACCGCAGCGGCGCATCATCCACCGCCATCGCCATCGCCGTCGCCATCGCCGGTCGATGTGCTGGCATGGGCCAACGTGCGCGAGGCAGGCGTGTGCGAACAACTTGTGGCGCCGCTGAGGCTCGACCGCATCGAGATCTGGCTCCCCCTCCACCTCGCCATCGCCCTGGAGAGGCCCGATTTTGTCGAGCTGCTGCTGCTGGCGGGTGCAAGCGTTGATGAGGTCATGGACAAAGTCGGCGAGCCGCTGCATCTGGCGGCTGCAGCCGGCTCGGTTGCGTGCGCGCAAATACTGCTTGACGCCGGCGCCGAGTCGTCGCGTGGCGCACCAGTCACCGGCGCCACTCCGCTGCACTTGGCCGGAACGATAGGCGGCAATGTCGGCGTCCTCGCGCTCCTCAAGAACGCCGGCGCCGACTTTCAGGCTCTCGACGCGTCGGGCAAGACGCCGCTAGCGGCGGCGTCAGCTGCGCCTCCCGGCTCGGTTCCATCGGATGTCATCCGGTTCCTCACCAACTACACCAAGGTCTCGCTCAACAAGCACCTGACCGCGGCCACCGAGACAACGGTCGACACCGCGCGCCCGCGCTCGGCAGAGGTCCTCAACTACCCAGCAGCAGGCTCCGCACCAGCTCTGCTTCTAGGCTCGATCCTTGGCGACATCGACGAGGAGCGCGCCCTGCCGGTCCTTACCCAGGCCGGCATTTCGGACGAGCTGCTCAACTACGCCACAACGCCACGGGCTGACCTCGAGGCTCGCCTTCGCGGGACCGGCGCGCTCTCCTCGGTGGCGCTCGCGCGCTTTCTTGCCGAAGTCGATGCGTACAACGCCAAGTCGGACGCAGCCGCAGCCGCAGCCGCAGCCGCGGCGTCTCCACCGTCGACGCCCACGCTGCCGGTCCCGCGCGGGCGTCGCTCAAACTCGGTCTCGAAAGATGCCGGCTCGCCGCTGGCGGCGCCGCTGATGGCGCCGGGCGAGGCGACCATCACCATGGCCGCTGTGGCAAGCGGCGGCAAGTTCAAGCGCCAGACCACGTACGTTGTCACCCTCCGTCCTCCAGGCATCGCGGTCGAGCGCAGGTACAAGGACTTTGCCTGGCTGGCCACCCGCCTCCGCAACATTTACCCGTTCCGCTCGGTGCCGGGCCTGCCTCCACCGTCGCGCCAGACCGGCGCCGACGCCACAGACGCAACTCGGCGGCAGCTGCTCATCTTTCTCCGCCACATTCACGCCCGCCCAGACGTCTACGACCCAGCGCTGCTCAAGCCATTCCTTCTCCTCTCGACCGCCAGTGAATGGGACGCCCACAAGCGATCTGCGTCCAAGCACCCGCCACCGCCCGAGGCTGAGTCCCATCTACACGGGCGCGACGCCGCCGCTCACATCCGGCCCGACGCCGATGCATACCTCACTGCTCTTCACGCTTCGATCTCCGCTTTTGCACTTCGTTCGAGCCGGTCCACACTGCCGCCGCTGACCTAGTTGCTGTCCACGCTGCCCACACCGCTGCTGCGACCGCCTTTTCGTCGGCGGTGGCCTCGATGCGGGAGGCGGCGACGCCCGAGGCGGCGGCGGGGCGGCAACCTCGCCAGCTACGGGCTCAAGTGTGCACGCTGAGCTCCGCGCCGAGCTTGACGCCATGATGGATGCAGCATCAGGCGTGCTGGAGTACGCGTTGGCGTCGGATGTCGAGTGTGTCACCGCTGCCGTCTCGCAGCTCGCCGGCTCGGCCCGCAAGGCGCTCAAGATCGGCAAGACTGCCGTTGACGCCCGCGACTCGCCGGTTGGCCTCCGTGACGCTCTCAAGGGCATCTCGCTCCACCTCGTGGCAGTCCTCAACGTCGTGCCGCGGGTCTCTGCCTCGCCGGGTGGGCTGGACGATCTGATGGACCTCAACTCGTGCACCCACGCGCTGACCGGAGCGGTGGAGCGATTGCTCTCGCTGCTCGCGCTCACCGCGTCAAACTCGTCGAACGCGCCCTCGCGCAACATGGTGGCGCTCTCGGCGTACGCTGAGACCCACGGCGCGCTTGGTGCCATGCACACCCGGCAGGCCGCGGTGGAGTCGGCCGTCCTTCTTGACACCATGTACGAGGTCATCTCTGTCGCGCGCTCGCTGCTGGTCGCGTTTGATAACAGGTCCGTCGTCGCCACCAAGTTTGACTCGTCGCAGAAGAAGACGCTGGCGGCCCAGCTCAAGCTCCGGACCGCCCGCGACAAGGCCTCCTCACCGTCCGACTCGACCGTGGCCAAGCTCGAGGCGCTCGCCCGCCACAACCAGGCCAAGCTCGAGCAGCGCCGCACCGAGCTCTCGTTTGCTACCTACGCACTGCTCGAGGACACCCACTACGTCCGCGATGTGCTCATCTCCAAGCTCACCCACGCGCTGGCCCACCTGGCCTTCTCCACCTCGTCGTTTAACTCACAAGTCGCCGCCGTCTGGCTCCGCGCCCACGCAGACCTCGCCGCCATCGATGCCGAGCTTCACGCTGCAGGCACCGCCCCGGCTTCTGCCGTCGACCTGGAGCATGGGAGCAGCGCCGCCGACAGCACGATGCCGCCGCGCCGCACCCGCGCGCGGTCTGCCACTCTTGCCTGATGCATGTGCGTGTGGGTTGCGAGCGAAGAGGGGGTACCGCGAGTGGTCTACTTTGCTCAGAAACAGAGAGCGATGACAGCAGCTGCGATGAGAACGGCAGCGACAACAGAGGCGAGTGGGGCGAGTGGGCGAGGCGCGAGGCAAGAGGCTTGAGGCGCGAGGCGCAAGGCGGCCAAAGTGGTGTCGCCAAGCCTCGCGCTCACGACACGTACAGATGCTATCGACCGACAGCAAGGTGCAGGCGTAGTCGGCATCGGTTATGATCTGAACGTTAGTGCCGTAGCCTCAGCTGATTCCGCCGAGCGGCGAGCCAACAACAACCACATTGCGCGCACTCAGGTCGCCACCCCTCGGAAACGAACTCCCCTCAACGAAACCAACTTCCCAACGAAACCAACGCCCCAACGGCCACCACCGCAACCCCCCCCCCCATTCTCAGGTCCATCAGGGACACCCACCCCCCCCCCACCCACCCCCACCCACCCCACCTCACCCCCACCCCACCCCCACCCCCACCCCCCACCGCACACAGCCCCAACTATGAAGTTCGAGGAGCTCGACCAACTCAGCAAGTACGAGCTTGTGGGCTCTGTCAACCGCAACATTCTCCACGAGCTCGCCCAGCTGAAGCTGACCATTGCCGAGCTGGAGGAGACCTGTATTGCCCGCTTCGGCTTTGACGGCCAGTACCACCCAGACTCTGCCTACGGCGTCGACGAGGCCGCACGCTTTGCGCCCGACCGCGAGCACGATGCTCGCCGACCGATGTATGATGACCACCGCAACGACCACCATGCCACCCGCCATCATCATCACCATCAGCATCATCATCAATCTCGCCGCCGCCATCACTCGGGCTACGCCCACCCGCCGGCGCCCCACGCATCACGCTCTGCTGCCCACGCCGCCTACCCGTCGGCCCCGCACCACGCTCATCACGGCTATCCGTCAGCCCACCCGTACCCAAACTCGTACCCGCATCCGTACCCGTACGATGCGGAGAGCCCCGGCTCGTGGTCTTCCAAGGGCAAGGGCAAGGGCAAGGGCAAGGACAAGTCAAAGTCCAAAAAGTCCAAGGACAAGTCCAAGAAGAAGTCGCGCTCGTAAATACCTCCCATCATCTCCCTCCCTCCCCCCCCTCCCATCGCCACTGCTTGTGTCTTCACTTGCCTGCCGCAGCCTTGGCCTTCTCGCGCCGCCGCTTGGCCCGCGCCCGCGCCAGCTTCTCCTTGCGCCGCCGCGCCTTCTCGAGCTCGGCCTGCGCCTGCAGAATCGCGAGCTGCGACTCCATCTCCTCGCGCTTGGCCATGACCTCGCCGTCGGCGAGCTCAATGTCCGAGTCCGAGCCGTCGTCGCCAGCGGCGCTCCTGCGGTTGGCGTCGGCAATCTCGACAAGCGACTTGGCCGCAGACTTGACGTCCTTGCCCGCCGACTTCATCGCCGCCTGCGGCTTCGAGTCACCGGCCTTGACCTGCCCGGCCGTCGTGAGGTGGACCGTCGACGTCACCACGCCCTTGCACGCCGCCTTGATCACAAGATGCGGGTCCTTGTGCTTGCCGGCAATGATCTCGCCGGCCACCTCGACCAGCTGCTTGCACTCGGCCTGCACACGCTGCGCGCCCGAGATGAGGCCCTCTTCAAAGTCTGAGCCGACCATGTACGGCGAGCCGGCCTCCACACCCTCGGCCACCTTGGCGAGTACCTCCTTCTGCACCACTACAGACCGCTTCACCAGCGTCGCCGCCGCAGCCATGATCGTCTTGCACGCCTCCACCACGCTCTCCTCGAACGAGAGCGTGTCGCGGTCTGGCCCGCGCTTCGGCCGCAGCTTGTTAAGCTTCTTCGCAGTAGCGTCGATCGCACTCGCAGACTCCTTCAGTGCCGCCGATGTCTCGTCCATCTCGCCGTCGCCGGCCAGGAACGACGCCGCCGTCGAGATCTCCGCAATGCCTTCCGCCACCTTGGAGCTTGCCGACCGGAGCTTCTTCTGTGCCGCGCGGTTCTTCTTGAGGTCAGACCCGGCGGCCTTGAGCACACTCAGCATCGTCACCACGTGCCCGATCCCGCCCTTGACCGCATCGTAGAACGCCGCCCGCGCCTCGGGTGTCGCCGCCACCGCCCCATCCTTGCACTTCATCACAAAGCCCACCAGGTTGCGCGCAAGCTCCGTCGCAACATCGCCCATCTTGTCCTTCGACTTTTTCGCCGCCACAAGGACCTTGGTCGACGCTTTGGAAATGCCCGACGCCTCGTCCGCAATCTCGTCCGGGCTCACAGACGGCTTGGCCCCGTCCGGCACAGCCTCGGACGCGTCGAGCGAGCCGAGCGCCTGCTCGATGACGGAAATCGCAGACTTGAGCGCCTTGCGCCCAGACGTCGCCATCTCCTCCACGCCCTCGTTGGTCTTGAGCAGGATCTTGACGCCCTTGAGCGCAGCCTTGGCCTCGTCATTCACCCGCTCGCCGAGCTCGTTGTCGTCCGGCGCACCCGCAAGCTCCACCGCGTCACCTGTCAGCGCAGAGAGCGCCTCCACCAGGTTGCGCGCAGCGTCCAGGAGCGCCTGCTGCGCCCCAAGGTCCGGCAGCGTCGGCAGCGCGAGCTCAAGCCGCTCAAACAGCCCGCCCACAGCGCTCGCAAGCTTCTTGGCCGCCGCACCCGTTCCGTCCGCATTGCCCTCACCTGCCTCCTTCTTCACCTTGGTCAGAGCCTTGCCGATCTTGGCCGCATCCGTCTCGATCGCGCCCTGGAAGTCCGAGTAGTTGGCGCTGTCCGAGTTCTTCAACTGCCCGCTCGTCGCCATAAACGTGAGCGTGTCGAGGTCGCCGAGTGCGTCCTCGATCGCAATCGCCGCCTCCTCCGCCTCGCGGTCCGCAGACGCCTCGGCCTTGGCCGTCGCCAGTAGCGCGCTCACGCCCTTGGCGACCTTGCTCGCGCACGTCTTGGAGAGCGCCGCCCCGGCGTTGGCGTCCGCGCTACCTTCCGCAATCGCCGCCGCAGACCGCAGTGCGTCCGCCACCAGCGCCGCGAGCCCAGCTCCGGACTCGAGCAGCTTTTGGCTCTTGGAGCTCATCGGCGCCGCAGCCGCCACAGCCGCAAGGAGCTCCGGGAAGAGCGCCGCAACCTGCGTCCCGATCGACGTCAGCTTCTTGCCCTGGCCCTTCTTCGCTGCCTTGCCGAGGTGAAGCACGCCCGACGCAACCTTCTTCCCGCTGCTCTTGATCGCCCGCTGGTAGTCGCCGTACGCCATCGACTTGTCGCGTGCTGGCGCTGCTCCGCCTTCGAGCTGGATGCCCACGCTCCGCGCCGCCGCCGTCTCCACAAGCTCCGCCGCCGCAGACAGGTTGTCGTTCGCCGATCCGGCGCTCGACGCCTCGCCCACCGCGCCCTTGAGCGCCACGCCGGCCTCCTCCACCGCCGCCACCGCTGCCTTGAGCGTCTTGGCATTCGCCTCCCCGCTCCCCTTGCTCGCCTCGGCCACAAGCGGCACCAGCTCCTGCGCGAGCGCTGCCGCCGCGCTCAGCATCGAAGCTTGCACCTCCGAGTCGTCAGTCTTGGCCGCCGCCGCCTTGGCCACAGGCGCAAGCTCCTCCACCAGCGCCGCCAGAGCCTCGGCCCGCTGCCCAACATCTTCGCCGCTGGCGCCGTCGGCCACCGCCGCGCGCAGCTGTCCGGCCTTGAGCTCCAGCTCGTTGGCAAGCTCCACAACCCGTGACGAGGCCTTGGCCAGCGAGAGCTTCGACGACGTCTCCAGCTCACCGATCGACGCCGCCATCGTCGTCTCCTCGAGATCCTCCGCCACCGCGCCCATCCGCGCCATCGCGTCCTGGCTCTCGCGCGCCCCAGGGCTCGCGTTCCGCGCCGCAGCCTCGAGCTTCTCCGACGCAGACGCCACAGACTTGGCCGCAGACGCCACCAGCGACTTGGACGCCGCACCCGCAGACGACGAGCCCTTGGCAAGTACCTTGGCCGCAGAAACCTCCTGCGTCGCTGCCTCAGCCACCGCCGTCGCAGCCGCAACCATCTCGCTGGCGCTGGCACTCGCGCTCGCACTCGCACTTCCGCCTCCGCTTGCACTTCCGCCTCCACTCGCGCCTGCAGGCGCGAGTGAGGCCTCAAGCGCCTGTGCCGCCTGTGCAAACTCGCGCTCGGCTGCCCGGATCGCCTTGGTCGCCTTCACCAGCGCCGCTGCGTCCTCGGCAGATGCCACGCCTCCGGCCGCCGCCTCGGCGAGCGCCTTGTTGGCCGCCTTGAGCTTGTCGAGCGACCCAAGCACCGCCTTGGCGCTCTTGAGGCTTCCTTTGTCCAGCGCCTTGCCGTGGCTCGTCACAAGCTCCTTGGCCGCCTTCCGCGCCGCCTTCTCCAGCCCGACCGAGACTTTGGCAACCGCAGCTGCAGCCTTGATCATCGCTTTTGGCTTCTTCAGCTTCATCATCGCCTTGGTCCCAGTCTCGATGCCCTCGCACTTGGCCGCGTACGGCTTGAACGGGAACACCGGTCCATCGGCTGGCACGGCGGCGCTCCCGCTCCCGCTCCCGCTCCCGCTCGTCACTGCGCTCGCTGCGCTCGATGTCGCCGCCGCGAGGCTCACCACGCTCTCACCCACAGCCTGGGCCTGGGCCGTCAGCTCGTCGCCGTCCTTACCGGCCTTGGCAGCCTTGGCCAGCGCCGCCGCCGCCGCCCGCGCTGCTTCGGCCTGCGCGCTCAGCGTCGCCAGCGCTTCTGCGAGCGAGCTCGCACCCGAGCTGCTGCTTGCGCCCTCGGCATCAGACAAGTGCTCAGTGACAGCCGCCATAATGGCCGCCACCACCGCGTCAAACTCAGACTCGGTCTCGGACGACGACGACTCGACAGTGGCAACAAGGTGTGCCACCGCTGTCGCCGCTGCCTCGTTGGCCGACGCAAGCTTGGCTGGCGCTTCGGTGTCATCGGCGTCGCCGGCAGCTGCCCGCGCCGTCGCCATAAGCGCCTGCGCCGCGCTAGCCACCTCGGCCGTCGCGCCCACAAGCGCCGCCTGCGACGACGGCAGCGAGAGTCCTGCCGCAGCAGTCTCCACCGCATCCTGCAGCATACCGTACGCACCCTCTACCTTTTCGGCTGCACCCGCAAGCTCATCGGCCGCGTCCGACAGCGTCGCCGACGGCAGTTTGGCCAGCGCCGCAGCAAGCGCCCGTGCCGCTCCCAGAACCGAGTCCGAGAGCCCGTCGAGTGACGGCGGCGCCGGCGGCAGGTTGGCGAGATCCAACTGCGCCGCACGCGCCGCAATGACCCGCTCAGTCCGTAGGCAGTCGCCCACGCCAGGAAGCGCTTCAGTCAGCGTGTCGACATCGGCCTTCAGCTGCGCGTTGGCCGCCTTGAGCGCCGCCGCCGCGCTCGGGTCCGAGCTCGCCTTTCGCACGCCGGCAAGCAGCAGCCCGAGACTCTTGAGCACCGCCGCCGTCGCGTCGAGATTGGCACCCTGCGCATCCGCTGCAGCCTCGCCCTGAGCCAGCGCCGCAAGGTTGACTGCCGCCCCGGCGAGCATCGACGCATTCGAGGCCGCATCCTTGGCCGCCGCGCCCACATCTTCCGGCGCGAGGTTCGCGTGTGCGTGCACAATGTTGTCACCAGTCTCGGCAAGCGCCTGCATCGCGTACTGCAGCTCGGACGACGCCGAGTCGACCGTGATGAACTCCGACTCGGGCGCAAGCTCCCCGCTCGCAGCCTTGCTCTTGGCGCCAACCACCTCGCTGCGCTCGGCCTTAATCTTGGCCAGCGCCGCGTCGACCTCGAGGTCCCAGCACGCCTCGCGCGCAGCCTTGTACGCCGCCACCAGCGCCGAATGCGCCTGTCCGGCGTGGCGCGCTGCGCCAGCCACCGCCTCCTCGTCCGTCGGGTCCTCAAACGCTGGCGCCGCGCCCTTGGCAGAGAGCACCGCCCGCGATGTCGGTGGTGCGGCCTTCTTGGCCGCCGCCAGCAGGTCTTTCTGGTTCTCGAGGCTCGTCGGCTCGATCGAGAACTTGATCGCCGCCGCGTCGAGCGCTGCGTTGGGCGCCGCGGCCTTTTCGGCGTCGCGCCGCGCCCGGCCCTCGGCCGACGAGTTGGACGACTCGCCAGCGACATCGACTGCGTCGACCATCGCCGCCGTCGCCGCTGCCGACGACTTGGCCGCCCGCGAGAGGTTGAAGAGCGTGCGCTTGCGAGCACGCGCCCCCGAGATCGCCGCAGCGTGCTCGGCGAGACCGTTGGCCGCAGCACGAAGCGCGTCGTTGGCCTCCTTGGACTCGGGTGACTTTTTGACCTCGCGCGCCGCCTGGTTGAGGCTTGCCAGCGCTGCCCGGAGTGCCTCGTTGTCGGCTACGAGCGGATCCTTAAAGCCGGCAAAAGTCTCGGCCTCAGCCTCGGCCTCGGCCAGGTCGGCGAGCGCCACGCCGGCCGTTGCCGCGGCCTTGGCACCTCCGAGTGCCTGCTTGGACGATGCAGCGTTGACGACAAGGACCACCGCAGCGTCAAGCTCGGACGCCGCCCGCACAATGGCCTCGGTCCGGTCGATGTTGTCCGAGACGGTGTCGATCGAGCCGGCAAGGTCCTTGATGGCCAGCGCCACCGCCTCGGCCGCCGCCTTCAGGTTGCCGAGCCCGAGCTCGTCGAGCCCAGCCATGTCGGCTAGCGTGAGCAGCTGGTTGAGCGAGGTCTTGAGACCGAGCGCACGGTCCTTGAGCTTGCCCTGGTTCTGCGGGTCGAGCACTGTCGCGCCCGAAGCCGCAATCGCGCCGTGCATGGCGGCAGCGTCGGCGTCGAGCTTGACGCGCGCTGACACGAGCTTCTCCTTCTCAGCCGAGTCAACCTCGGCCGACGACTCGAGCGCGCTGTCAAACGGCGCCGCCAGCTCGTCAAGCGCGGTCCGGACCGCAGACGCCGCATCGAGAAGTGAGTCAAGTGAGAGTGGATTGGCGTCCGGCACGCCGCCGGCGCCGAGCAGGCCGTTGAACGCGACGCCCAGATCCTGGGCCGCTGAGAGCAGCGAGTCGAGGTCCAGGCCGCCTGCGCCCGGCGCGTCGTCGAGCGAGAGCGTCGCGAGGTTGAGCATCGACGAGAGCTGAGCCGAGACCTGGGCCGACGCCTCGAGCAGGCCGTCGTTGTCTTCGTTCGACGCCTCCATCAGCCGCGCCGCGTTGCGCACCGCGTCGTTGAGCTCGTCGTTGAGCTGGACCAGCCGCTGCGCCGATACCGTGAGGTCGGTCTTGGAGGCCGAGCCCGGCCCGGCGCCTGCAGCCAGCGCCGAGTCGAGCGCGAGGGCAGTCTCAGTCGAGAGGTCGCCGAGGATGTCGGCGAGCATGTCGCGCGCGTTCTGCAGGTTCGTCGCCTTGAGCTCGTCCGGCAGCGCGTCGAGATCCATCTCGCTGCCACCCGAGGTGTCGGCCGACATGGCCGACGCGCCCACATTGGACGAGGAGAGGACCTGAGCGCAGCGGCGGAGCTCGGCGTCGAGGTCAGTCACCGTCGAAATGGAGAGCCTGCGCTGGTCGCTTGCGCCGTCGAGACCCGACATGCCCGGACGCGGGTGGCGCGACGCCCCGGCGCGGCGACCGACGACGACGTCATGGTCCGCCGCGGATTGGAGAGCCGCGCCACGCCCGACGCCCGCGCCGGCGTGATCATCTCCTCCTCGATAGCGCGCTGCTCGTCTTCCTCGAGGTCGCGCGCGCGGTCGCGCCGCTGCGAGAGAATGATGTCGATGTAGCCGGCAATGAGCGCCGAAATGGCATCGCCCTCGTCCGTCAGCACCGTGTAGTACTCGTTCTTGTGGTCACCGTAGTCGAGCGTGATCGACGACTTGGACGGCGCCCACCGGCGGAGCTGGGTGAGCGCAAACGGCTCCTCGCGCGGGATCTTGCTGATCGGGTCGAGCCGGAACAGGTGCGACTTGGAAATGCCGAGGAGGACCGGCTCAAACTTCTTGGTCACCTTGCCCTTTTTGTCGAGCTTGGGCTCCTGCGCGTGGAAGACCGTGACGCCAAACGTCTCGAGCGACCGCGCGAGCTGGATGAATCGGAACTTGGCGTCGTGGCCCGACATCCGCAGCAGCTTCTTGTGCTCGGCAAAGACAAGCCGGTCGATCCGCTTGACCTTGCGGAACTCCTTCGGCAGGTACGAGATGACCGACGTGGTCTTCTTGTTGTGCCGTGACGGGTCGTGGTCGCCAAGAATGATCTGGCACATGAGCGCGGCAAACATAACCGCCTCGTCCTGCCGCACTACAAGCCGCCCGTTGACAATGTCATCGCGGAGCTGCTCGTACAGCAGGTTGAGTGTCTGCGGGTCCGACGTGTCCACGTCGGCGTCAAAGAAGAAGAACTTCTTCTTGAGAAGCACCGCAGACGTGTCCGGCACGGCTTGCTCGTGGAGCGTTGCGTTGCCGCGAAGCCACTCGTCATCGCCGGCCGCCTTGGCCGCCTTCTCGCGCGCCTTGCGCGTCTCCTCGTCGGCCTCCTCGTCAAAGAGCTGCAGCGAGAACTCTTCGGGCTTGGAAATGCCCTGCCGCGCGCAGATGGTCTCCACAATCTGCGACACAACGTGCGAGTCGTCGATCATGACCACCTTGCGCGAGCCGTCCATGAGGTACACCCGCAGCGGCCGGTTGCGCGACTTGTACACCACCTCGTCGAGGTTGTGAATGTCGTAGTACCGCAGCGTCTTGGTCGGGTCCAGCCAGTAGCACTTGGTCAGATCGTGGCCCGAGAGAAAGTACATGCCCTTGTCTGGCGAGTGCTCGAGGCCAAAGTTCGCCGCAATCGCCACGCAAGCGTCGTGCACGTACGTCGTCTGCAGCCGACCAGCAAAGGCGACAGAAATCCAGACAACAAGTAGTAAGTACTCCTTACACATACCCACACCCACCACCACATACCCACCGTCTCCCACCCATACCCCTCCCCTCCGTCCTCCTCCTCCCGCATGTTCGCCCGCAATGAAAATTGGTCCAGAAACGGCTGCGGGCAAACTCGATTGCTGCCGCAAGTTCAACAACCTCCCCCCCCACCCCCGTCCCCCTCTGCTCCAACCCCCTCCTACGTACATTATCAAACTTCATAGACTTTGTCCGCGAGTTAATGGCCTTGGTCTTGGGGTCAGTAAACTCGACTGTGATCTTGATGGTCAGCGAGGCGCCCGACGTCGCCACAGGGTCGACCTCTTGGAACAGCGAAGCCTGGAGGTTGAGCCCAGCGCCGAACGAGGTAGACATGGTCGTTGAGGAGGATTGGAGACGGGTGTACCAATCGCTAGTTGGCAGAGCCAGCTGGTGTGTTGGGGGGTGGGGAGGGCAAGATGGGGCGTGGGGCGTACGACGTGGGGCGAGGGCCTTGGTGAGGGGCGGGGCGCGAGGAGCGCACAGGGGGGGAAAGAGACAGGGCGAACCTGGCCCTTGGCCGGCTGTGCATGCACCGCAATGTGGCGGTGTCTGTTTTGGCTTGCGAATGGTTTTGTGGGTGGTGAGGGATGGGGGGGGGGGGGGGGGCC